GAGAGCCCGGCGAACTGTCTGAGTGGACGTGGCCATGGCCGTGCGACGGAGCCGCTGCTTGAAGGCCGCCTTCGTCTCCTTTCCCTTGGGTGCGTTTGCATCCATGCGGCACTGGATGTCCTCCCATAGGGCGAAGTCCCATGGGTTGAGGTCGGGGCTGTACCTCGGGTACTGCATCGCGTGGATGCGGCTCTCCGCCTTCTGGTCAGCGGCCTTCCTGCTTTTGTAGCCAGTCGGACCATTGTCCTCTAAGACGTGATACTTGCGCTTGGGCCCACGCTTGGTTGCTAGTTTTGGTGCCAAAACATCCTTGTACGTGGATGCTGCGGCCTCGGTATTCCACCTCTTCTCGATGTAATGCCACACTGCTACGCGGCAATTGGTAATGCCGGCGCACACCATGACAGATCCTCCAGGGTTGATCCGGTGCCTCTTCCTGTTGGGCTTCGTGAAACCCGCCTGCAAACCCTCGGCCGGCGCCCGGAGATGGCCCCGGATCCGCTGGCGGCGAAGGTAGTTCCGAGCACGCTCGTCCGCTGGATAATCCCAACTCTTGTTGTCGATCACAAGATCCATGGAATCGGCAAAATAGGAATCCGAGAGGAAGCGCCACCGGCCGCAGATGAGCTTGCGCTTGTCTAAGTGCTCGGCCTTCCGCAAGGGCTTCTCCCGGGGGCGTCTCCATTTCACGTCGATCCCCTCTCGCTTAAAAGCTTTCTGCGCGGTCGTCCTGTGCACCTGGGGGACGTTGGACTTCTGGATGATCTCATCCCAATGCACCTCCCGTTGTCCCCCGATGTTGGGGTCCTGGATCAGTCTGAGGCGGGTGCGGTTCATAGTCAGCACATGGCTGCGAGTGAGACGATTCTTCCGCCCCCTCTGCTCGGTGGCGGACGCAGTGTACGTCAGGCCGCGGAGGAACTTTCGGACGTTGGTGATGTTCGGGGCAGCGATCCCGCGCTTCGCCCGGGTCTGGGCGAGCTTGGCGTGCGCTGTTATCGGTGTCAGGCCCTTGTCTCCAAACCAGGTCCGGAGTAGGTCCATCTCCTTGTGGTCGAGATGGGGCGCCATCGCAGCGGATAGGAATCACGGCCGCGCGCGCTACACCCAAGAAGCGGCAGGGAGCCCTGAAGCGTCTCGGGACACACGGCCACTGGGACGGGAGACGCACAAGAGCAGCGCCGAGGACCCCGGGTCTGTTGTCAAAGGGCCCTCCACCCATGGATCCCACAGTCGGGGCCATAGGCGGTGCGCACACATATACATATGAGCGTGCAGAGCCGCATCTCTAATGACGATGACGGAGGCGTGCTCGCCATCCCCAGTATCGAAGGAAAGGTCCACGAATCTGCATCACCATCGGTCAGCACTGGTCGGCGCCGGGTCCACAGAGATGCACACACGCTCACACTTTTCTCCGGTGTGTGCGAAATAAACGACCGTGGCACGCGGAGCGCGCCAGACGGTTCACAGTTGCCTCCACATGACAACCAGATCATCGCACAGCCATCGCACGCACGACATCGTTCGGTTCACAGTTGCCTCCACATCACAACCAGATCATCGCACAGCAATCGCACGCACGACATCGTTCGATTCACATGCCAACATCATCGCATCACAGCCTTTGCACGCACATCTTGGCAAGGAAGATGGTTTGAAGTCTCCCTCACCGCGGCTGGCAAAACATATCACAGCCTCTGCACGCACGTCTTCGCCAGGGAGATGTTTTCATGTGTGCCTCACTGGGCCTGCCCGAATCATATCACAGCCTCTGCACGCAAGGTCTCGCAAAGAAGATGTGGTCGCTTCTTTGTCGCCGGGCCTATCCCTCCCCCCTCCCTCGCCCGCCGCCCCACCCTCCCATCCTCCAGCCTCCAATTCAAAATCGTCCGCACTCGTCCGCAATCCTCCCGCCGGAGGCCTCCAGCACTAGTGCCCAGACGCCTCCGCTCGAATTTGATATCCTCCGCACTCGTCCGCACTCCTCCCGGAAGCCTCTGGGAGGCAGTCCAGAGGCCTCCGCTGGAATTTGACATCCTCCGCATTCGTCCGCACTCCGCCCGAAAGCCTCCGGAGGCACTCCCCAGAGGCCTCCGCTTGAATTTGAAATCCTCCGCATTCGTCCGCACTCCTCCTGGAGGCCTCTGGAGGTGCTCCCCAGAGGCCTCCGCTCGAATTTGAAATCCTCCGCAGTCGTCCGCACTCCGCCCGAAAGCCTCTGGAGATACTCCCCAGAGGCACTCCTTCGCACTCCATTTGAAAATCATCATCGTTCCTTCTCTTCGTCGCCCCTCCTCCTCCTCCATCCTCCTCATTCCTCCTTTTTCTCCCTCCTCCCTCCCTTCCTCCTTCCTTCCCTTCCCCCCCTTCCCCTCCGAAGTGCAGAGTTGTTCCTCCTTTCTCCTCCTCCTCCTCCTTCTCCTCCTCCTCCTCCTCCTCCTCCTCTTCGTCCTCCTCCTGATTCCTCATTCCTCATTCCTCATTCCTCATTCCTCCTCCTCCCCTTCACCCTCCTCTTCCTCCCCCCTCCTCCCCCACTGCCTCCCTCCCCCCTTCCCTCCCCCTTCCCTCCCCCTTTCCCTCCCCCCCTCCCCCCCGAAGTGCAAAGCTGTTCCTCCCTCCTCGTCCTCCTCCTCGTCGTTGTCGTCCTCCTCCTCCTCCTCCTCCTCCTCCTCCTCCTCCTGCCTCCTCCACCTTCCCTCCCTCCCTCCCTCTTTCCCTCCCCCCCCTCCCCCCCGAAGTGCAAAGCTGACTCGTGGGCCGGGCAGGTCGGCGCTTCCGCCTCCACCCAGCTTTGCTCCATGGGGGGGAGGGGGGGGAGGGCGAACACGATTTTTGGGCTGTAACAGATGAATGCGAAAATGTGGCCCCACGTGCGGGCGAATCTCATGGGACCGAGAATGTGGCCTCACGCGCGGGCGAAGATAATGGAAACGATACAGTGGCCTCACGCGCGGGCGAAGATAATGGACACTCCGCCGTCCCAGGAGGACCCTGTTTGAGCGTATTCTGGCCCCGCGCCCGTTTCGCGGCACACCCCTCACACGTTTCGTACGACACGCACGATCATTACTTCTAATGCAGAACGCCATTACCTCATCATATCGACGGATGGTCGTTTTTTACGCACGCCCCGGTATCCTGGGAGAAAATCTAGACGTCCGCATACACCGAGATGTAAGCAACCATCCACATTGTGAGAGGCAGACTAGAAAGCAGAGCTGCCCGAAAGGATCGGGCAGCTCCGCTACCAAGTTTGAATGAGCATCCAAGCATGGTGTAGGTTGGGATGTCGAAGCGGTGGTAATAGTAGCGGGCGCTCCTTCGACTCACCGCCCAAACGCAGATGGCACAGCATGCGGCAAAACTTACTGTAAGCACATTGGGTGTGCACGCCTATAAGCCACAATGGTTACGGTGCACAAGCATATCTCGGAGAAGACCCTCAAAGTCCACCGTGCTTCGGGCACGAAGTGGAGTGTTCCCCAAGCTTCTAGAGCTCCCTGTACTCTGTGTTCAGTATTGTACTTATTACATTAGGGGCAGGGAACCCAAATCCCGTGTTCCCACGCCTTCCCCGCGTGATTTTCCCAGAAGCCTGAGGGCCCCAAAACGAGCCAAGAGGGTCCCAAGAAGCGCCCAAAGAGGGCCCAAGAGGCCTCCAAAACGACCCAAGAGCGCTCCAATACGCCCAAGATGGCCTCAAGACGGCATAGGAGGCCTGCAAGACGCCGCGACGCCCCTAGAGGGCTGCAAGAGGACCTCCAAGAGACAACAAAAACACTACTAAAAACAACAACAAATGAAAAAGCTAGCGAAAAGCTGGCTTCCAGCGCTCCGAGGCGGTCAAAGAAGCCCCCAATATCGGGTCCCAGGAGTTTTCCAAGACAGCGCAGGAGAGCTCCGAGACGGCCCCATAGCGCCAAAAGACGGCCCCAGGTGCATTTCAGGCAGCCCAAGAGGCCCCCGAGACGCCCCAAGATGGGCGCAAGAGTACTCCCAAGAGGGCCCCACGAGGCAGCGCTTCCGCTTGCGCTTTCCAGGTTTCCAGCGCTCGAAGACATCCCAAAAATCATCCCAAGCCGGCCCGAGAGGCTCCCAAGACGGCCTCAACGACGACCAAAGAACGCCCGGAAACGGCCCGTGAGACCCTCAAGACGGCCCGAGGGAGGGGCCCCTCAAGGATGCCCAAGGAGAGCCCAAGAAGGGGACGGCCTAAAGGGCCGCGGAGACCTTTCCCGCAGGGCCGCCCGAAAAGAGCCCCTGGAGGCTCCCGAAGCATCTTGCACAGACGCAGACCCCCCGACGCGCCCCAGACAGGACCTCGTGTCCACGACCCAATCACGGTGCGGGGTGTCGCCGAATGCCACCAAGCGAGCCAACCACAGACCAAACAAACGTTCTGCTAACAGACAGTGCTCGTAACACTTGCGACCGACGACTCGCAACAATACCGTCTGAACAAGACATGTCCGAAGCCTATGGAAGCAGAGGAGCAAATCCGGACCCTGTGCTGCTCGCCCCCTCAATAAGGCGACTGGGACGGCCCAAGGGGCCCGCAAACGCCCCCCCCCCCCGCGAGTCCGATCTCCGGGATAATCGCTGGTTGAAAAAACTTCCTCCTTCTCCTGGGAGGGCACGGGGAAGGGGAGTGGGCCCCACTGGGCACTGAGCTCTGTAGCCCTGGACTGTTCCCTGCCAAATCAGAAAAGCCAGTGAGGGTTGCGCGACCCCGAGGGAAGAGGATGGCCCCCAGAGGGAGGAGGAGGAGAATACATACTGAGGAAGGAAGGGAAGGGGCAGGAGACTCAGAGGGGGAGGAGGAGGCGCGCTTGGCGGCAACCTCTCGTGAAGACACAACGTCTGGCTTGCAGGCAAGTGACAAAGAAAAGCCCCTTGGAATCTCGCTCCACGAGTTTCCTAAGGAATTAAGGCTCAAAGGAGTGAAGCATCCAGTCGAAGGTTGGCGTCTTCACGGGCCCGGACCGACTTCTGCTTCAAGGCTTGAGAGCACATTCGAGCGCAAGGAGTTGTCTGAAATCTGGCTTGCGCTTCTGAGCCCAATCCAAAGGTGTCGCGCCACCAGGCCCTTTTGCAGAGGGATTCGCACGAGCCCGAATCAACATCGAGCACAACTCCGCGTCGAGGAAGCCAGCTGCCACGTGTAGCGGGCTCAGTCCATTAAGAGCCTGCAAGGGGACAAGAGGCTGACAACCCGCGCTCAAGAGTTCTCCGAGTATGATGGGCGTCGCCGCGTCCTTAGATGTCCGAGAGGCGAAACTGTGCATGACCGTGAAACCCAGCATGTTTGATGCGTTGACATCGGCCTTTGCCCGGAGGAGCCGGGTGATGAGATCTGGGTCGGCGGCGCGCTGAACGACGAACATCAGCGCATTAAGACCGCCGCCTCCGTCCTCGCTGTCTGTCGCCAGCACGTCCGCCTTGGCCTCTACGATCGAGCAGGCCTTAGCCGCCTGCGACGCGCCAGTCATCCCCTCGAAGTGGCCTGCCATCAGGTCCCGCAGCTGCATCGTCAGGTCGAGCGCGGGCGGCGCGGCTGCCTTCTCGGGGCGGGCGAGAGGGTAGGATAGCAAAGGATAGGGTAGACGACGACGACGACGACGATGACCACGACAACGACGACGACGACGACGACGACGACGACGACGACGACGACGACGACGACGACGACGACGACGAGCCGCCTCCAGCGGCGGCGGCATCTCGAGGCGAGAATCAGCTCAGCTGGTTCTCCCGGCGCCTTCTGGCGCCGGGAGGCGCCCGTGTCTCGAGGAACGGGCCCGGCGGCGGGGCCGAAACCAGCTGCGTGCAGCAGATTTCGTACCCCCCATTTCCCTATCTTACCCCGGCGGCGGCGGCGGCGACGACGGCGACGACGGCGGCGACGACGACGGCGACGACGACGACGACGCCGACGCGGACGCCGCCGACGACGACGACGACGAAGACGACGACGACCACGACGACGGCCCGACCTTCCGGGCCGCGCGCTTCTGTGCCGGCGTCATCTCCTCGCCGCCGACCGCCGGCCGCGAGCCGCGGGCTGCGGCCTGGGCGGCCTCCATCTCCTCGCGGCTGCGCGGCGCCCGCGGCGCCCCGTCTCCGTGCAGTCTGTGGCCCTGCGCGGCCTGCTGCGGGGCCGCGCCCCCCAGGTCTCCGGCCAGCCTGCCACCCGTGTAGCCCATGGCGGCCATCTGCGCGACCATGTTGCCGTCCGACACCACGCTGCCGTCCTCTTCCGCCACGATGTCGATGCCGGCCATGGCGATGGCCCCGGACGCGGCGGGCGGAACCTCCGCCTCCCCGTCAACCGCTGCTCTGCCCGGTGCATTCCGCGAGCGAGGATTGACAGGAGCGGGTCGTCGGGCGGGACCTCCGAGGTCTTCCAGATCCATGTCGCCAGTGGTACAGTGGGGCCGCCGCACGGACCAGCTCCTCGTTCAGAAGCAGCGGTGGCAGCTTGAGCCAAAATGTCTACGGCAGAGGACGATGCTGTCAGATTCGGATCTGGATAGGCAGAATGTCGACGGCATTAGCCTCAGACAAAAGGGAGTGCGCACATCACCTCGGGTTCACGCAATGGGCATTGTGCTGCACCGCCGAACTATGAAACGTTCGTGCGCCTGTTCCACTATATGTGTATACATATATATATATATATATATATATATATATATATATATGCATTGCTAAGGCGGAGTCTCGATCGAAAGTCGAAGCGAAAATCCGCCGACCCTTCGGCGTGTGGAAGACGCTCTTCCGTTGGTCGCCGTCGTCGTCGTTGTCGTGTCGTCTTCGTCGTCTCCCCGTCGTCTCCGTCGTCGTCTCCGTCGTCGTCTCCGTCTCCGTCGTCTCCTCGTTGTCTCCGTCGTTCCCCTTCTCCTTTCCATGGGCCCTCATCCTCAAGCGCGCTAGCCAAAGCGACATTGAGCAACGTCGTAGCTGAGTCGAAGGGAAGCCCCTCCCCTTTGATCCCTTCCCCACCGGGGGGGGGGGGTGGGAGGGGATCCCGGGGGGGGTCCTGGGGGGGGGCCTGGGGGGGGCGGGGGGGCAGATACGCATCCCCCCCCGAGCGGTTCTGGGGCCCAGAAATCCTCCAAGACGCGCAATAGTGTTCCAAGAGGCTCCAAGACGGTCCTCGAGGGTTCCGCATCGCCGAACTATCGGTCGAAGACGCCAAAATTGCCTCCAGACGGCTCAAAAGGTTTCCAAAACGCCCCAAGAGGCCTCCAAAACCACTCCCAAGAGGGCCCCAAGATGCAAAAATCAATGCTTTTCAACTGATTTAGTTCTCGCGTAATCGGCTTCCCGACCCTCCAAGACGCCCAAGAGGCCCCCAAGATCGCCCCAAGACGGCCCCAAGACGGCCCACGATGGCCCCAAGATGCCCCAAGAGGGGTCCTAGCACTCGGCCTGACAATGAGAAACGCCCAGGAGGCCCCCAGAGGCCCCCAAGAAGCCCCCAAGAGGCCCCAA